TATTAAGGCAAAAACATTTACATTTCTTGAGTTATCATGACCATTTTGCAACCTTCTGCTACAGTTGTATAAATCTGTCCTGTTTTTAAAATGAAAGTTGATTGTATTGTACCAACTCAATATTTTCCTGGACCTCATAAGTAGCTGATGTATTTTAGAATTCAAAATTAGTAGCACAGTGTTATGTATATGCTTATATTTTACGTTATTGGTATTAGGAAGTACATCTGCTGGAGATTATCTTCCGGTTTTTATGATGTCATCAGGCTTTCTCACATGGTGAAAGAGAATTTTGAGATGCATCCCACTTCTTCATGCTCGAATTTTATCAACCTGATTATATACATTTCATAAGGTCAATATCCGTATCTGTTTCTTTAAAAGTGACATATGTCAGCTACAATAATATTTAGCACATACTAAGTATTTAGAAAAGCTGTGTTATTCTCGTATGGTCTACTACTTTATGTCTTAAAGTTTCCCTGTAATTTAAGTACTTGGTTTGGTGGTATGAAAAAATTAATAAACATAAACCTCTATTAAAAAGAATTAGGAGACCAGAAGGGGGAGCTCTCATGCCCTGAGATTATAGCAGAGCCCGACAGGAAGAAGAAACACTCCTCTTTCCTGGCGAAGACTCAGTGAATAGAAAGTCAGGGACTCTTTGTTTACTACAGCCCTCCAACTTCCTTTCCCCCTCAATAAAAGCCTTCTCCTTTTCTTGCTGTGTGAGAATTTGCACATGGCTCACCATGGTTACAGACACCGAATCACAATTCTCTGATGATCCCAAATGAATAAACCCGTCTTTGTTTTAGGTCAACAATGGGGTAAATAGGCAGTTTGAAGGTATATAAATAGTTCGCCCAGAGTTCACTTTTACGCATTATTTCCTTAATTTGTGGAATCTCCGGTGAACAGAATTGACCTACTGATTTTTTTGAGTGCCGTTAACATTTTTTCTTTTCAAGGAGCTAGGATATGTTGAATCTTACAGACCTATAGCTGGAGTGAAAGCCTTCCATTCCTAGTTTAGAATCTCATGACTTGGTGAGAACTTTTAAAAACTATTGTACGTGTAGCGTGTCCTTCAGTTCAACCTAGATGTTCTATGCTACAACATCTGTTTCTGTAAGAAAAATTAGCTTCTATGTCATTAGTAAATAAAGGAGTTAGGTCCGTTTAATGTGAAGTTGCATCAGCTCGTGTGCAGCTTTTCCTAGATAGAAACAGCCAGAAAAACAGGAATAGAATTATAACCTTGGGAGGAAAGAGAAATACCCTCAACTCAGCTGCTGCCCTGGAAGCAGAAGCCTTTGACGTTAAAAAAAAAAAAAATTTGATGTATTAGTTTCTAAGAGAAGTGCAGTCAAACATTCCTCTGTGTTTATGGATTTGGATATTGTTTTCTCATAATTCAGTCTTTTTTTTTTTTTGCTTTGTGTTTTAAAATCTATGTTCTTAGTAATAATGTTATGGTTATTGTAAGTTTTGTTTTTTATTATGTACTGTTTTTCTTTATCTGTATCAATGTGTTTTTTTTGGTCTTAACCCTATTATATTGCTACAACCTTCATTTTTGGTAGTATTTGCATGGTATGCCTTTTCATACCAGTACATACATAAATGTCTAATGAAAACTATCTTATCCTGTAAAATACATACTTTCAGGATAGTTTTCATTAGACATTTATATTATAACTAGCATATAGTTAGATTTTTTAAAAAATCCAATCTGATAAATCTGTCACTTAAGAAAGAGTTAAAAAGTGTTACATTTATCTTTATTATTTTTATATTTGGGATTCTTTCTACAAGCTTATTTTTTTCTTTGGTTATTGCTGTTGGCCAATTGTTTTGTTTGCTACTTTACTTTCCTCCTATGTTTTGTTGCATTGATACAAATAATCCTTTAGCCCCTCTGCAAGTTTGGAAACTATACAGTATAATTGTATATAGCTTTAATTAAATAGCATTACTTTTTTTTTTTTTTTTTTTGCGGTACGCGGGACTCTCACTGTTGTGGCCTCTCCCGTTGCGGAGCATAGGCTCTGGACGCGCAGGCTCAGCGGCCATGGCTCACGGGCCTAGCCGCACTGCGGCATGTGGGATCTTCCCAGACCGGGGCCCGAACCCGCGTCCCCTGCATCGGCAGGCGGACTCTCAACCGCTGCACCACGAGGGAAGCCCCAGCATTACTTTTAATATACATAATTAGCTCTAATTTCTAATTAGGTCTCTAATTTCTGTCCTTCAAAAAAAAAAAAAAGATTCACACTTTGTTGAATGTTCTCATTTCAATATAATCTTGTCTCGAGTTTTAGGTTTACCATTTTTTTAGACTCCCAGAGTTATAATTTATTTTTACAATTAATAGTAAATGTAATTAACTGGTATTTAAAAAATTAATTTTGGGCTCTGTTGTAGGACACTCTTTAAGGAAAATTAAAAATGAGTACCTGCTCCCAGCTCTGACTTCCCCGAGAGGTTCCCCAGCTCCTGGCAGCATGCATTTCCTCCTGGGCCAACCCTCCTGGCAGTTTCCTGGCGCAGAGCTCATTCCCAGTTGTATCATAGTCGTCGTTCCTTCTCTAATTAATGCATTACCAGCATTTCCACTCTTTCATTTCTGTGCATTTTAAATTTCTGTACAGGCTATAATTACCAGTTATAGTGGTCTTTTCTTTTCTGCTCCTTGTGCTAGTTTTACACAAACCATCTCCCTACCACCCACCTCCCTTACTTTAGTGCAAGATTTTTCTGAACTCAAATTTTGTCAGGAAGACTTGTATTAAACAAGAAATGTCTGTCTGTCTAGCTATCTATCTAGGCTGGCAGTAAGGTTGCCCAGGTTGTGAATTGCAAAATTCTAGGGCATTCCATTCACCTAAAGTATGTTGGGCAAGGTGGCCGCTAGCATTTCATGGTATCTGAATAGTACAGGTAATTACACAGTTAAAAGAGTTAAACAGTCCTCTGAGGCTTTTAACTCCAAACAGTAGTATTGTTCCCCAGCCCAGCTGGTATGGGGCTATGTAGTGATCGGGCCATATGGGCTCCGGAGAGACTCTTACCCTCAGCCTGTCCCCTGGCTTCAGATACATACCGTGACTGCAGTTTCCAAAATTGCCTCAGTGTTGGGGAATTAGCCTGCTTTTTGTAGCAAGCACACCACAGCAATTTTAGGCTCAAACTCCTAAGAGTAGAAGCCTTTATAGCACTAGTTTGACCAACTTTGTGAAAGACTACAGGGCAGGGAAAAAGGCAGGGCAGAGGTGGGAGTGTCTTCTGCTTTAGCTCCTGCGCTCATCATCTCACATGAGTTTAGGGGCTGCTTTTTTCTCCCCACTTCTCCCTCTACCTTGGTTTCTCAGGGGTGAGGGAAGGAGATCACAGAAGGTGGTATGTGAACCATCCTTTCAGAAGGCTTCAGCTGCAAATAGGGACTGACATCTTTTGCAACAGCTGATAGTCATTAGCTTCCAGGTACCAGCAAGGGGAACACCTGGCTATAAGGTGAATTACTTTGAAGGAAGGTCTAGTATTTATAGTTCATTCACAATTCTTCCAGCCTGGGTGTGGTTTACCAGTCAGGAGTTAGTTTTACCATAAGTAATACTACCTGGTAAAAAAGCTGAAGTTTCACTTTCATAAGTTTTTAGGGAAACAGAGCTTAGGGGAAGGTGAGCCCAGGGTTTCAGGGTTACATGGTCTTTTCTTCAGCTATTCAGCAGATAGAAAAACCTGAAAATTATTCTTTCTGCTTTTTATCTTCCAAAAAGATTGTTTTTTGCTTTTCTTTGTTCTTTTGGTTTATGAATTGGACATTTTTAAGGAAAAAAGTCTTTATTTTTACCTTAGATTTCAAGAGGTAGCAGCTATATGTGTATGTTTTCAACTGACTATATTTAATGAAAAGTTCCAAGAAAGTTACTGAATATCTACTAAATTAAAATACATTGCACATTATCTCAATTATCTTTAAAAATGGATGTTATATAAGCAATTTTCCCTGGGAAAGCAAAATGTAATGGGTGAAAAAAAACCCTCTCATTCCCTTGTTTTACAGAAAGAACATAATAAGATGTTTTGTTGTGTGTTGTCATAAAGAGCACATTTCCATATGAATGAGCAGACAGGAAAGGATTAGTATAAGATTGGTATAAGGGATTAGTATTAGTGTATAAGGTGGAGTATATTATAAAATGCTCCTAGTTAATAAATACACAAAATTGAACAAATAATTCTTAAGTTTAAAAATTCTGATATTGCAAAAGAATACACATATTTCTTTATGCTCATTGTATATGTACATTTGCATTTTAAATAGGTTATTTTGAAGCTATTGTTGTGATTTAGGTTTTTATATCCCATGAAAGACAGACAGTATTGTATCATCTCAGTAGTAGTAGTTTGTAGAAAAGAGCACAGATCACCCTGAGACCTTAAATTTAAATGAAAAATAATGCTTAAAAAATAGTCACTTGAATAATTTCAAGAAAAACGCTAACACTGCTAAAAGAATTCTATATAAAATTCTTCTGGATTTACTTTAAGGAGTAGATTATTATTAAATTCCAATTATTACTTTGAAAGGGAGTCTTCTAAAAAACTTTTATTTGGATAAGCAGTCCCTTATATTTTATTGTTATTGTTAATTTCTTAACCTATTTATTTCTATCTAGCCTAGTTTCAAATTACAAATTAGGAAGTAAGTTGAAAGAATTGATGAAATCATATATTCTTTATACCAGTATACTTGACTGTGACACAAATTGAAATAGAATATTAGCATTTTATACTTTTCAATTAGTGTTTACTATATCTGTATTTAAAAGGATGATTCATTTTATTAAGTATTTAGGGGTTGAAATGATTAGAAGTTAATAAAATGATAAAAATAATTTCAATATTATATGTGTTTTAAGCTTCTTTAATGTCATACTTTTCAAGGGAAACTGAATGGTACTCTGATTGTTACCTTTTATATTATTTTGCAGGTGCAATTTCTTGATTATGAATCAGTACCATTTGGTCAGAAAATGGAAAACCTAATGCAGATTAGAGAATTTGCCAAGGAAGTGAAAAAAAGAAATATTTTATTATATGGCCTTCTTGTATATTACCCACAGGTAGGTAAAATGTTGGTCTCTTCAGATTGTATGTTTTTTAGACTACAGTTTTATTGGTGGGAACCTGATTTTGTTAAAAGCAAAGAAATATTTTTAAAAAATTGGGCTGGTAAATTACTTATCTATTCATGTTCTGCAGCAGGTAGAAACCCTTGACTCTAAGGGAAAATTAAAAATCAAAACAAGTGTTTTGATTAGGGGGAATAAAAAAGATGAAAATTGACAAAGATCTCACACTAGGTAGCCCACATAAAATTGCTAGATATGCAAAGAAAAATACAGAATCCCCAGTTAAGTTTGAATTTCAAATAAATAATAATTTTATTTTTAATTCCGATTTTGGAATTTGAAATTTGAATTTCATATTTAACTGGACTCTTATATTTAACTGGCAACTCTAAGGTCACAATCTTAGCCGTTTGTATAATTTAAAGTTGTTTATTCCTTTAATGCTGTGCTAAAGATGTTGGTAATCAAGACTTTAATCATTTGAAAGCAGTGGCTGGCATTTGGGTTACATGAGGGCATGGTATTTAACTAGACAAAAACTCTTACTGTCGCTGTCTTTTAATAGCGAGTTACTTAAGCTGAAGGCAAAATGAATTAGCATTCTAGATTATTTGTGCAGAGAAATGCTATTTAAATCAAACTGTTCGGAGAATCTGTTAGAGAAGATGGCTTTGCCCTTTGTGCATAGATACCTTTCATAGAACTTGCAGAAAGCTTCATGGTGTCTTAGAGCTGTACCACATAGGAGTCAAGGAAGTAAGAAAGTCAACTGCTTTTGTTTCTAGTGGTCTGGAATAAAAGTGATTTGGTACTGTATGGTTGATGAATAACAGCTATTGTTTATGAAATATTTAAGGTGCCTTTTTAGCCTGAAGGTAACAACATTTCTTTTGAAACAAATGGATTTTCGTTGAATATAAGGGGCATCTTTTAGCCAGTTCCTTGGTTTTCTTTAACTTTGAGGTTGTTTCCTCTGCTTCTGACAGAGACAAGCATGACCTCCAGTTGGTCCTAAGGACAAGGCAAAGTTTAGTTCACTTAGGATCATGGAATTGTAAAATGTTAGTGCCGTATGGTTCCTGAAGTCAGCACAACCAAGGCCTAAAGAGAGACATATAGTTGCCCAAGGACATAAAACTGGCAGAGTAAGAATAAGAACTCAGGTCTGTATCTTCCTTCAGGAATGTTTCCTCTTCAATATTGTCTTTGGTTGTACCCTAGATTAACGTGGTGGGAAAAAGAAATCAGTTATTTCTCTTGTGCCATGCAAAGGAGTCATGGACTAATGCTATGCTATACAGGTATAAAATAGTGTTCACTCAGGAAAGCCTCAAAAGCTGGGGAATGGTAGAGCACACACAGTTCTGGACCTCTCTTTGTCCTATGATTTAGACTAAGCATAAAGGGTCTGTAGCTGACTTTCTAGTGGAGGGTCTGGTTGCCAGTTGAAATGGAGCATGGAATTTCAGAGAAAAAGTATGTTTTAGCATAAGTATGTCCCAGATGTTACATGGACTATATTTGCACAAAAAATTCTTTATCGTTATTCTGAATTTCAAGTATAACTGGGCATCTTGTGTTTTATTTGCTAAACCTGGTAACACTTGGAGAGTTCATATTTACATAAAAGTATTCATTCTTTTCACACTTGACGTGTTCTACCCATTTATGGAATGGAGTACGGTGAGTATCTATGTGACTCTGTACCTATGAAGGCTCCCTGATTGGAAAAGTAGCCTTGTGGAAAAGGAGGAGCCTTTGCAGCCCACTGCCTGGTATCTGACTGCTCTTTTTAAGCACACTTGGACCTGCTAAGCCAGCTGTCTACTAAGTTACCAAAAGTGGAAAAAGGTGGTCCTGCAAGCCCTTCAGGATATGTCTCATTACTTTAGAATGCAAAGATAGTTTACTTAGGTGTTGCTTGTCTCTTCTTAACATTTCAGTAATGATGTTTCAAGTATGTGAAAATGTTTAAAATGAAAGGTTTACTTTTCTCCTTAAAGACACAGATGTGAATTGACTTTTACTAGCCCAACACACTGTCCAATACATAATTCCACCTTAAAGAGCATTTACTAAGAGATCCTGGGATGTTTGTTAGATATGCCATTAAAAAAGAGCTGTGGTTAAAAATTTGGAGAGGCAGCAGTGAATAGAGTTAAACAGACTTCTTTAATGAGGGCTTCTCACAAATCCTTAGTATACTGATGAGCATTTCATATCTCCAACCTGGGGACAAGGGCTATGCCATTTTCCATTTTCTCCTGTAATCCTTTAACCATAGATAAATCATGGGACTAATGTTCCCTAAAAGAAACTTTGAGAAACACTCCTCACAAGTATACCGTTAAGTAAAGAAAGCACTACCTCTGTACAGTCTTTTTCTACTTCAGTACTAATTTTTCCATTTAGTTAAAGCAGTACTTCTAAAATTGAGTGCCTCCTTGACACTGCAAACAGCAAGGATATGAAGATGTATAAGGTGGAGCTTTCATTCACTGTTTAGTGAAGAGTGTTGGTCTGTGCTTTCCACTGTGCTGTGAGATGCAACTTTTTGTAGTATTCATACACTGGACTTGTTCCCTAAATCTAATTCATCTCTGTAAGAGCCATTAGATGTTTTGTAGGTAGTTATTGTGTATGCTTCTAAGTCTCTGAACAGTGAAACCTTTCTAGACTTTTTTTTAAAACCGTTTTTTGTAAGACACTAACATCAGGTGCCTCTTCTTTGGATAGGTTTTCAGTTTATTGATAGCCCCTCCTTGGAAGAGAGAATGTATTGAATTGACTTCTGTATCTGTGTTACACATATGTTCTTTCTGGCTTAAAGAAAACCTCCCTTGTTATGTATGTGATATTTCTGTTAATGCAGATAGTCTTGATATTTGGCCGCACCTTCACAGTGTCGATGTATATGATGTTTATAGTTGAATAGAATTACGTAGGCTTTTTTCTTTTGAAACACATGATGCTATTAAACCTCTGTTTGTGTTTGTATAGCGTTCTTTTACACACATGTATAGAAGTTTTTGTGTTTGGCAATTTTAAGCTGATTAGTTTTATTCTATTATTTCTGTCTTTCATTGTCTTTTTTGGTCTAGATTGTAGCATATGATTAATTAGCTATAGTTTCTTGCATCATATAATTTACAAATTAGATGTCATCTATATTTTGTGTATACCTTTAAGGAAAAAATAGATTTGAATAAAGCTAAGGATTGATTCCTTCCTTAGTATCTATAAATGTTCTACAATGTTGTCTGTGATCAATTACTGATAATTTAATAATTCAGTCACTGACAAATGCATCTAATTTTATAATAGCTTAACTCAGTTTCTCCATATTTTCTTTACTGATATAAGAAACTTTAACAAATACTTTACTTAACTCTAGATAAGCTTTATGTGTGTGTTTTTTCTGCCTTTGAGAGAGATTATTTGCTAAATTATTGAATATGCTAGTTTCTTATCTGTATCACCATAGTAAGGCACTATTAACTTTTTCTCCCAAAATTGACTTTAAAATATTCTAGTGGCCTCAAAAAATTAATAATTTAAAATAAGCTCTTCGTGGGTAGCTTAAACTTAGAGTTATAGATCAAGTGACAGGCTTCACTGTGTATATATATATGTATCTATACATTTATATACACACACGTATATAAATATAAGTAAGAAATATTGGACCATAGTATAAAGTTTTCTAATGTTATCATCCAGTTTTCAGTTCTTCAAGTTGTAAACAAATCAGGAAATATTTGAAATTTATGCTCAAGACTAGAAATGTAGCATAAAGCTTGCCTTTACAATTTGTTGAATGAATTTAAATCAGGTCCTATCCCTTTTTAAAAAATACCATACAAAAATAACTATGAATAATTAAAACCAGTTTTTATAGTTGAGTCTATATAAAAGATCTTAGTCCCTTTTTAAGTGTTACTTTAAATAATTCTATGCATAAAATATTATTCTTCATCCTGTTAATCCAGCTTTGTTATGCAAACCATCATTGAGGTCCATGATATAAAATTATGTGTTTGGGGAACATATTTTAGTTATTTGAAAATCTGTATCTGATAATATGGCAGTGAACATATACAGACTTAGTATTTCTGTCATGAGCTGTTCAAGCCAGTAGCTTACAGTTTACAGTCTTAATTTTGTTGAAATCTAAAATATTTTTATGATAACTTTGTTTTTTAAGGCAAATATTTGTGAGTTTACATTTTAAAATAATATTCCTTAAAAGTGTGATAGTAAGTAAACTGTTTCCCTGAGTTCTGTGAGCCATTCAAGAAGCAGATTGTAGGAACCCGTGACCTATAGCTTGTTGGTCAAAAGTACAGATGGCATCCGAAGTAGAAGTCAGCCTGGTGGGACTGAGCCCTTAAGCCTGGGGTGTGTGGTCAGTGCTAACTCCAGGTAGTGAGTGTCAGAACTGTTTAGTGTGGGAAAAATAAAACACACATTTGGTGGCAGAAGTGTTGAGAACAGAAAAACAATCTTTAGGCCAGTATAAAACTTGCTATATCTATTATCTCCCCAATCCCACCGGAGGTTTTCCAAATTGTGGACATTCTTTCAGCTTAGGTGCCTAGTGAAAATGTTGTGAATCAGCATCCCCAGCAAACTAACAGTAAACATGTAGCATGAAAAAGAAATTAGACTCTGTTGTCACTGTAATACAACTTCAACTATACTGACCATTTTACAGGTAAAACGTCTAGGTTACAACGATATTATTCCTTTGATTAGTAACTTTTTTTGTACAGACATTACAACATTGAATAATCCACTCAACTGATTTTTGCACTCAGCTTTACTTATCCACCGTCTTCACAAAGATATCATGAGACATCTTATTAGGTATTTTCCTGAAGTCCAGATCTGAGATTTGTACAGCTGTCCCTTGCTTGAGTAATCTACTGGTATTCTCAAAGAAAGAAATAAGTTTAACTTGTTTAAATGAACATACATTCGACCCCACTAAT